CCCCGACCCTTCCCACCCCACTGACCCCCTGACGTGTCCCGTGTCCCCAGACACCGACGAGTGCTCCATCGGCAATCCCTGCGGGAACGGCACCTGCACCAACGTGGTGGGAGGCTTCGAGTGCGCCTGCGACGAGGGCTTTGAGCCGGGGCCCATGATGACCTGTGAAGGTGACGCTGCTGGGGGACTGTCCCCTCATCTGTCCCCTCATTCCCAGTGCCACCGGGCTGGGGGAGACCCTGCTGGGTCACTGCCTGGGCCGGCTCCAAGGGATGGTGTGGGAAAGCTTGGCTGGGGCTCAGTTCCTTCTGCTGAGAGTCCTGGTGTCGTCCCTCTGCTGAGTCCTGGTGTCTGTCCCTCTGCTGAGAGTCCATCTGTCTGTCCCTCTGCTGAGAGTCCATCTGTCTGTCCCTCTGCTAAAACACCAGGTGTCTGTCCCTCTGCTGAGACACCAGGTGTCTGTCCCTCTGCTGAGAGTCCGTCTGTCTGTCCCTCTGCTGAGAGTCCATCTGTCTGTCCCTCTGCTAAAACACCAGGTGTCTGTCCCTCTGCTGAGACTCCGGGTGTCTGTCCTTCTGCTAAGACATTGGCTGTCTGTCCTTCTGCTTAAACACCGGCTGTCTGTCCTTCTGCTTAAACACCGGCTGTCTGTCCTTCTGCTAAGACATTGGCTGTCTGTCCTTCTGCTGAGACACCAGGTGTCTGTCCCTCTGCTGAAACACTGGCTGTCTGTCCCTCTGCTGAGACACTGACTGTCTGTCCCTCTGCTAAAACACCAGGTGTCTGTCCTGCTGAGAGTCTTGGTGTGTCTGTCCCTCTACAACCAGCCACGGGCAGGAAGCCTTGTTGGAACAAAGTTCTCACAAGCTGGATGCCCAGGGAGGGTGGCTCTGACCTGGGGAGGCCCAGCCCTGTCCCCTGACAGCACCAAGGCAGGTTCTCTCCTCTCTCCTCCCCGCAGACATCAACGAGTGCTCCCTGAACCCCCTGCTCTGTGCCTTCCGCTGCATCAACACCTTCGGCTCCTACGAGTGCACCTGCCCCTCTGGATATGCCCTGAGAGAGGACAGGAGGATGTGCAGAGGTAACAGCCCCTCCTGCACCCATCAGGAAGCTCCCAAACCCTCCCCAGCTCCTGCTCTCAGCCACATGTGTGCAGGGAAGGCAGCACTCCTGCCCTGGCATCGCTGAGCGGGTGCCCACTGTCACCCCCTTGGGCTTGCTGCCAGAAGGAAATTCTTTGCTCACAGGGCAATGAGGCCCCCTGGCACAGTGCCTGCCCCATCCCTGGAAGTGTCCAAGGCCAGGTTGGAGCAACCTGGGCTAGTGGGAGGTGTCCCTGCCCATGGCAGGGGGTGACACTGGATGAGCCTCAAAGTCCCTTCCAACCCAAACCGTGTTATGATTCTATGATTTTTTTTTTTTATACTGTGCCCCAGCCAGCCTGGGCTAAAGCCACAGGGATTGATGGAGCAGTGGGCACTCCTGATGCCCCCCAGGGCTGGCAGGGTGTAGCTGTTTGGAGTTGGCTTCCCACCAAGTCCTCCAGGCTACAGTGAAAACCTCCCCCTCCCCTTTGGGCAAAGGAAAAAAAAGAACTACAGAAACTGAAAGACCCGAAACCAACTGAGCTATAACAAAATATATATATTTACGTATATCACAAGTTTATATACAGTTACAATACTGTGTACATATGAAAAGAGAACCCCAAACAACCCCCTCAAAGGGGAAGGGAAAAGGGACAAGGGAAAAAAACCACAAAATACCCCAAAGCAGGTATGCACAATAACAATCAATAAAGAACTAGGAAAAGAAAATCTTATTACTCTCCTTGAGATAGCAGAATCGTGCCAAGCACTGCTGGCACCCTCTGCCTCCGAAGGCCTACAAGGCCTCACTAGGCCTCACTAGGCCTCACACGAACCGTACCCTGGCTTATGTAAAATTCGTATGGAATACTGGGAGCATGGCCACTTCCTTGGTTACAAACTGGTCACCAAAGAAGGCCTAGACTAGAACTATCACCCAGGGGCAGCTCTGACGGGGTCTCTCTTGCAGATCTGGACGAGTGTGCGGAGGGGCTGCACGACTGCGAGTCCCGGGGGATGCTGTGCAAGAACCTCATCGGCACCTTCATGTGCATCTGCCCGCCAGGGATGCAGCGCAGGCCCGATGGAGAGGGCTGCACAGGTACCAGGGCAGGCTGCCAGGGACTCCCAAGGGCATGGGGATGGTTCCCTGCCAGGCATTGCCCGTGGAAGTTTATGTTCCTCCTCCCTGGGGTGTCCCAGTCACGCCTTCACGCACAACCCTCTGTTCACCTCTGGCCCACGTGGATCGGAGTCCAGCATGGGGGGACCTTTCCTTTGGGTCATTCTATGTCTGTCCTGAGCTGCTTTGCACTGATGTGCTTTGGGAAGGGGCAGCACTGGGCAGCCCAGCCCTGCTCAGCCTTGGGCACAGCAGGGACACGGAGCCAGCCCAGCTCCAGGGCTGGCCCAGCAGCTTGGCCAGGGCAGGTGGAGGATGTGCAGGCCAGGGAAGCCAAATTTCGGCCACCCTTGCTTTGGGAGAGGTCCAGGGCAGGTGGATGTGCTTCCCTGCTGATGTGGAAATGGTCCTCAAGGGCTCTGGGAGGACCTTTCAAACTGAGTGGTAGCACAGGGGCTCATGGAAAGCTGGAATCAGTTCTTTGCCTCACCAGAGCTCTTTGTGGTTCTTTCTTTCTTTTCTTTCTTTCTCCCTTCCTTCCTTCTTTCTCTCTTTCTTTCTCTCTCTCTCTCTTTCTTTCTTTCTCTCTTTCCCTCTTTCCTTCTTCCTTCCTTCTTTCTCTCTCTCTTCCTTTCTTTCTTCCTTTCTTTCTCACTTTTTTCCTCCCTTCCTTCCTCCCTCCCTTCCTTTCTCCCTTTCCCTCTTTCTCCCTCCCTCCCTCCTTTCCTTCCTTCCTTCCTTCTTTCTCTCTCTCTTTCTCTTTCTTTCTCACTTTCTTTCTTTTCTTCTTTCCTTCCTTCCTTCCTTCTTTCTCTCTCTTCTTTTCTTTCTCCCTTTCTCACTTTCTTTCTCCCTTCCTTTCTTTCTCCCTTCCTTTCTTTCTCCCTTCCTTCCTTTCCTTTCCTTCCTTCCTTCCTTCCATCTTCCCTTCTTTCTTTCTCTCTCCTTCTCTCTTTCTTTCTTTCCTTCCTTCCTTCTCTCTCTCTTCTTTTCCTTCTCTCTTTCTTTCTCCCTTTCTCCCTCCCTCCCTCCTTTCCTTCTTTCCTTCCTTCCTTCTTTCTTTCTCCCTCTTTCTTCCTATCTCTCTCTCTTTCCCTCCCTCCCTCCTTCCCTCCTTCCTTCCCTCCCTCCCAGATGAGAACGAGTGTCGGACCAAGCCTGGGATCTGCCCCAACGGGCGCTGTGTGAACACTGCCGGGAGTTACCGCTGCGACTGCAACGAGGGCTTCGAAGTCAGTCCCTCTGGCACCGAGTGCATCGGTAATTCCCAAATCCTACCGGGCCTGGAACAGCACGTGGGGTTTCCCCGGAGGCTTCAGGGGGTCTAAGAGAGCTGTAGAAGGACTTGTGATGTGGGTACAGAGGGACGCGACAAGGGGAAATGGTTTCACGCCGACAAAGGGTGGGGTTGGATGGGATATTGGGAAGGAATTCCTCCCTGGGCAGGGTTAGGTGGGACACTGGGAAGGAATTCCTCCCTGGGAGGGTGGCGAGGCCCTGGCACAGGTTGCCCAGAGAAGCTGTGGCTGCTCCATCCCTGGAAGTGTCCAAGGCCAGGTTGGACAGGGCTTGGAGCAACCTGGGATAGTGGAAGGTTGCCCATGGCAGGATGTAGACTCCATGACCTTCAAGGTGCCATCCAACCCACACCAGGGTTGGAACTCCATGACCTTCAAGGTACCATCCAACTCAAACCAGGGTTGGAACTCCATGACCTTCAAGGTGCCATCCAACTCAAACCAGGGTTGGAACTCCATGATCTTCCAGCTCCTTCCAACCCAAACCATTCTGTGATTCTTTGTCTGGGGGACATCACCTTCACCTTTATCTGAACCACACCCCCTTCGTGCTGGTGCTCCCTCATCCCTGGGGCTGACACTGCCTCAGATCCAGTACTCATAGCCCCCTTTCCTCCACCCAGACACCCGCCAAGGGTTCTGCTTCACCGAGGTGCTGCAAACCATGTGCCAGATGTCCTCCACCAACCGCAACCTGGTCACCAAATCCGAGTGCTGCTGCAACAGCGGGCGCAGTTGGGGCCCCCAGTGCGAGCTCTGCCCTCTCCCTGGCACTGCCCAGTACAAGAAGATGTGTCCCCATGGCCCAGGATACTCCACTGATGGCAGAGGTGAGCTGGGGCCACATCTTTGAGTGCAGAGGACGTGGGTGCAGGCTGGGACAGAGCCCGGAGCAGACACGAAGCCTCTGCGAGGTTCTCCGGGCGGGTTCTCGGCTCTGGGAGGCTCAGAGCTGCCCTGGCACAAGGCTGGCAGCGGGCACAGAGGCAGCCTTGGCACTGACAGGTCCTTTCCTCTCTCCCTCCCCCAGACATCGATGAGTGCAAGGTCCTGCCCAACCTGTGCAGGAACGGGCAGTGCATCAACAGCATCGGCTCCTTCCGCTGCCACTGCCGGCTGGGCTACACCGCCGACATCACGGGCACGGCCTGCGTGGGTGAGTGGGGAAGAGGGATCCTGTGGCTCTGGACAGCCCTTGTGAATCCAAAAAAATCAGGTTTAAGGAACTGCTCAGAGACTTTTGGATCTTTCGAGCAGCAAAGGTGTTTATGGCTGACGTCGGGAGCGAGCGTGGTTCGCCCACGGAGAACTCGCTCGAAGGTTTCACACAAAATCAGGGGGGTTTATGCAATTTTCATATGTGATTAAATACATATTCATATGATTACAACATCACAGGAGATCTCCTACACTTGTTGTGCTGCCTCAAACTGAGGTGCTCCCCCAAAATCCCTGTCTTCCTGCAGGGTGAAAACAGGGCATTTACCTGGGAGTGCCAGAATCCATAGGGATATCTGACCACTGACTTGTGTGGTGCCACAAAACCTGGGATCACCTCGTGTTCAGGAGCTCCTGGGCAGGCTGAGCTGTCCAAGGGGTGGAGGGGGCCCTGTCCCTGGGGGTGCTGACATGTCTTGTCTCTCGAGGGTAGATCTGGACGAGTGTAACCAGTCCCCCAAGCCCTGCAACTTCATCTGCAAGAACACAGAAGGCAGCTACCAGTGCTCCTGCCCCCGAGGGTACATCCTGCAGGAGGATGGCAAGATCTGCAAAGGTATCCAGCCAGGAGGAGGAGGAGCAGAGACCCTGCCTCACCCCTGGCACCTGGGGGGACGTGGCAGAGCAGTTCAGGTCCTTCTGTTCAGCCACAGCACAAGGACAGACGTGGGGAAAGGTGCCACCCTTGTGGACTGGTGGGTGAGGGTTTCATCCTCCCGCAGTCTGGACTTGTCTCATCTGGGAAAAAAATCCTCCTTGCCCTTTCCTACAGACCTCAGAGCCTATCCCAGGCTGTGCTGAGCTCCAAGGAGCTTCAACCTGGATGTGTCCTGCATGTCAGTGCCACCAGCAGCTGCCAGGCTGGGGCTGTGGCCACCTCTCCCAGTGTCAGTGTGTGAGGAGGCTGGGCTGAGAATCTGGGAGACTCTGGGATTTGTGGATCACAGGGGAGGCAGGGAGAAGTCTCTGCACCTTCCAGATGTGCCCATGTATAACACTGAGGTGGGGAGAGGCTCGTTCTTCTCGTGGAAGAACTCTGAGTGTTGTTCCTGAGGCCAATCCCGGTGTGCCCAGGTGTATCCACAGGTGGCACAGGCTGAGACCATGTGGATAAGACACCTCAGGGGGATAAAATGAGACACTTTTCCTTGTTGCTTTAGACCTGGACGAGTGTTCCACCAAGCAGCACAACTGCCAGTTCCTCTGTGTGAACATCATCGGGGGCTTCAACTGCAAGTGCCCCCCCGGCTTCACTCAGCACCACTCGTCCTGCATCGGTGAGTAGAGCCATTCCCTGCTCCCCTGGGCAGCACCAGGACATTCCCACGGGCACAACATCCCCAGGGGTCAGTTTTAAGCCCAGGAGAGTCTTTCCAGCCCCCAAAACCGTGGGTGTTTTGCAGACAACAACGAGTGCACAGCTCAGCCCTCGCTGTGTGGAGCCAAAGGGCAGTGTCTGAACACCCCGGGCAGCTACAACTGCGAGTGCCAGAAAGGATTCTCCCTGGACAGCTCTGGGGTCAACTGTGAAGGTGAGTCTGGGTCTCCAGGGCTTTGGCAGAGTTGTGTTCCCCTGAGGAAGAGTTCCTGGTGCATCACAGTCTCCGAGGAGCTCAGTTTGGACAGTGCTCTCAGGCACAGGGTGGGATTATTGGAGTGTCCTGTGAAGGGCTAAGCGTTGGGCTGGATGATCCCTTTGGGTCCCTTCCAGCTCAGGATATTCCATGGTTCTGTGAGAAGGGTCTGTGGGGCACCAGAAGCCCCCATGGGAAGCCCTGGTGCGAAGGAGAGGTCGGTGCCTGACCTGCCTGGGGAAACACCGGCCCTTGGAGAGAGAAATGAAGGTCTCAGTGCTGCAGCCACAGCCAAGCTGGGACAGGAATGGTCCTGTGTCCTACCAGGAGACAGCTCATGCTGGCCATGGGACCTGCTGAGGACTGCCAGCGCTCAGCCTGAAGCAGAGTCCAGGCCAGACTTTAACTCCAAACCCATCCCAGGGGTGTCTGTGGGCCCTGGGGCTGAGGGTGCCCCTCACTGCCAACTGCAGGGACATAACTGGGCACCAGAACCACGCCCACACGAGCACCCTGCAGGGTGCCAGGCAGGTCCAGCTGGTCCCTGAGGGCCCTGAGGTCCCACCCACTGGTCCCTGAGGGCCCCCCAGCCTGGGGGGAGTTGTCCTGTTGTCCCATTGTCCCATTGTCCCATTGTCCCACTGCCCCCGTGTCCCTTTGCTGCAGATGTGGACGAGTGTGACGGGAACCACCGGTGCCAGCACGGCTGCCAGAATGTGCTGGGGGGGTACAGGTGTGGCTGCCCCCAGGGCTATGTCCAGCACTACCAGTGGAACCAGTGTGTGGGTGAGTGAGGCCGAGGTCCTGTACCTGTGGGGTGTGTCCTGTACCTGTGGGTGTATCCTGTACCTGTGGGGTGTGTCCTGTGCCTGTGGGGTGTGTCCTGTACCTGTGGGGTGTGTCCTGTGCCTGTGGGGTGTGTCCCTTATCTATGGGATGTATCCTGTACCTGTGGGAGGTGTCCCATACCTGTGGGGTGTATCCTGTGCCTGTGGGGTGTATCCC